GGAAAGACTGGGTTTGATTCCATAAGCATCATTATAGTAAATGGTGGGACAGGAGATACAGGTCTAGTGATGCCAGTTTGCTCCTCTTAATGCTTAGTGCTTCTGTGTTTATAGGCGTCTTCAAGAAGAAGAACAGCAGTTCAGAACATCGTCTTTGCCAGCCATCCCAAATCCCTTCCCAGAACTTTGTAGCCCTGCAAGCTCTCCAGTGCTGGCCCCTGGATCTTTACCTCAGAGTCAACCTGCTAGTAAGCATGTGAGTATGGTACGAAGCTCTGGGTCATCCAAGCGCGTTCAGACCGATAGTGGACTGTTTCATTTTGAAGGCAGAAAGAAAGTTTCAAGAGAAGTAGAAACACTTGTAAGCTTTCTCTGTGAGTAGGGCAGCACTGGCCGAGAGAGTGTCTTCAAACAGGCTTCAGACCTTTTTTACAAGGTTTGTAAGAATGAAGTGTAAAAATGAAGCAAGTCTCTTTCAGATACGTGCAAGTTGTGAATGAAGCAGTAATGCCTAGTATCTTTTGGATTTTGTTATCCGAGGTGATGACTAATTCAGAAGTCCACTTAATTAGTTTAGAATTGGAGGAGGATCTGTGCATGTTACACTGCCTATTCTAGGTGCCACAAAGACACCGAACAGCTGTATTTTTTTTATTTTTTCGTGAAGCTGCTCAAAAAGATGAAATAATGTTCTTAGAGCATGTAACTAGGCACAGCTCCTTGTAATGGGGCTTAAGGGGAGCACTGTCACATGGAAAGTTGGTTGAGCAGTTCTCTGGGTTTTTGGCAGTGAAGATAGCATAGACTGAGCTCTCGGGTGGTCCAGAGCGATAACCTTAATGACACTGCAAACAGTTTTTCTTCTCTATCCTACTTCACTCTGTGACAACCAACCATCTTGTTTTGTATCAGTCATTGGGCGCGTTCAAAGACTAAAGCTGGGCTCAAAAACTTTTATTCTGTAAACTGTGCTGACTTGCGTGGTGGTGAAAAGATGGGTTGCTCTTACTGGCTATTGGCTTATAACAGTTCTGTGCTTGAGTACCCAAAAATATGATTATGTTCTGTATCACTGGTCAGTTTGTGGGTAGCTCTTACATCTGCTCTGACGGATAAAAGGGTTTGGATGAACAGTTCAGCTACAAGCAGTAGACCCTACTGTACGCTCTTGCATCTTATATATTGCTTCACATTGCCATAAACAGCTATTTCCTTTCTCAAAAGACACAGTGCATCTTCATTGGTTTTACTGTATTTCTTATACATTCAAGACAGACAGGTAACCAGATAATGCCCTAGGAAAAAATCAAATCATCCCATTGGGAATTTCGCAGGACCTCGTCAGAGGCCTGGGTGCTGGCTAAGCAGATGGCTGTTTTGTCATGGCAGTGCTAATCTGGCTCCAGGGAGGCAAAACAAGGGGTGATTCTGCCTCCTGGCACTTGCCAGCAGGACAGCAGCACAACTGCCTTCTGAGACAAGCTGCTGATGAAGCTGCGTTTTACCTTTCCAAATATTCCCCAGTTTCAGGGATTCTTTGCGTTTTAGCTTTGTGTTTTACTAAAATTAACCAAACTGCCCTAAACATCTCTCTGTGAAGCCCTAAGAACCCTAAAAGATCTGTGCATCAGTTTTCGATAGAATTTAGAAACTAGTGGTTTAATGTCACAAATAGAAAAGTAAACAATCTTTTAATGTATGCAAGAAGGATCATATAAAGACAGAATAAAAGTAGATTTTTTTCCTGAATTTTACTTTATAATTTTTTGAACAAAATTACCTGATTTTTAAAAGTGAAAAATCTGACAAGCCTTTTTAAAGCCTAAAATGAAGTAAATATTTGTATTGCATAGATACTCTTGCTGCTGAAGTTTTTAATCAAAGACAATCCATTATAGTGGTAAAACCTTTTAGGGTATGAGATGAGGAGGTAAAGCATGTTGGACAATAGTGGCTTCTGTAGGTGCAGATACACTGTTCATTTCAGTTTAGCAACTGACTGGAGACAGATGAGAAACACTGGCTGAGGGGAGGATATAAAAGTGTTCTTTTTCTCTCTCATGAATTATTTTCCCCTGTTTAGTGAAGGAATAGAGGAACAGAACTGGGAAAAAACCTCTAGTTTTAAAGTATCGATGGACAAAAGTACGAGATAAAAAAGAGTAGGTTCAGTTTCTTCATGAAGGAAGAAAACTTTACTTTGTTATCCAACAACACTATGTTTAAAATTCAGGTATTAAAAATAATCTGTCTAGTCTTCTCATAGGATGCTAGTTGTATTTAATCCAGTTCTAGTTCCCTTGAATGGGGTCTGCTAAACATCAGGAGTAAAAAATGAGTAACTTAAGAAATGTTATATATCTTTCCAACTTCATCCTATTAAAAAAATGTAAAGTTTGGGAATTCGAGTAAGTTCTTTTAGGACATGCTCTTGCTTAGCTAAATGTCCATAGATACAACGTAAACTACTGATTAATAAAAGAAGTGATGAGCTTAGTTAAAGGACTGCAGCGGCACGTCTTAATGACTGTCAGTTGGTGAAAATGAGCTGTGTTTTAAGAAAAATATAAATACAACATTAAATGCAAACCAAGGTTAAACATAATTATGCTTAATTTCAGGTTCTCTGCTTGCGGATTATAAACAAGGATTAAAATTGGAGATTGGAATGAGCTATTCTGATCACATGGGATATATGAGGTGTTAGTGAAAACCAGTTGCCTTCATACTTCTTGAGAATTTGCAGGTAAATAGGCAAACAGCAGCTCTAGCTGGCAGTGCTGCAGCTCTGTTCACACAGGGTGTCACGGCACATGCGTGACATGGAGGAAATGTTGCCTTTGGTCAGCTTGTGTCTAGGGCACTTGAGAAAGGGACCCACGTTAATGTAGTCTTGGGGGATTTCAGAAAGGAGCAGGTATTTTGTTTGCTGACCGTGTGAAACAGTGGGGGGCCACTGCGAAGCTGGGATATCTGATACAACTTCATAAGGAATGAAGTGTCATTAGTGTTGTTCCTCATGGAACAACTTGGTCTTATTCTTTTTTATAATTTTAAAATACAACTCTGCAGTGATAAAACCTGGTAGTGGTTATGCAAGAGGAATTTAAAGATCCGATCATGTTAAACGCAGAAGAGACTGATGTCATATTGCCAAGTCTTGGGCATAAAGAAATACCAGCTCTGTTCAAGTTTTACTAAATTAAAACTTTTTCACAGTATATTGTTCCTTATAGGAAAGGCACGCGTGTGTGAATGAAGGAGTGAGTAAAGGAGCTTTCAGGTCATAAAGCTTGAATTATATTTGCCGCTGAAAAAATGGAGGTTTTCTTTTGTCATATGCAAAATTTTATGTGTGGAGCTGGAGCCTGAGCCATACATTTCCTAAGATGTTTCTGATCCTTTTGCTTATTTTTTTCACACAGTTGCCACGGCTTTTTTTAACGGTTTGCAACATTGCTTGTGCACTGCTCTGCATTTGTTTCGTGCGCTTTCTTGGCTCAGCAAAGAAAGGTAAAAGCAGTAAAGCAATGAAAAATAACTGTAATGAATCTTTTGTACTTATTTTGCAATAGATTTTTTGTTTTTTTTCATGATAAGCGTTTTCTTTATCTTACTGTAAAAAGTGCACGTATTGGGAATAATTTCTCTTTTATTTTAATATATTTTCTGAGCTCTGTTGGGTAACAGTACCGGTTTCACCCCAGCAGGAAGCAGTATGCCACCTCTAGCTCTGCTGCCAGTCAGGCACTGCATACTGCTTTTAAAGCTGACGGCTGCAGGAGCGTACTGCAGCTGCTCCCCAGAAGACAGAGAACAGTGAGAAATACAGGTCTTCTGTACTAGCACAAAAGTAAAAACAGGTGTAAGCAACTGGGATAGTTATTTAATGGGAGCATCAGTATATCAATCTGAGAGGTAAAACTGGAATGATGGGCTTATTGAAATAATTGCAGATTTTGTTTATTTTACTTGACTCTGGATAATCTTCTCTGGTTTAGAAAAAAAGCCTAAATAAAAAGATTTTGAGGATACTTTTTTTTTTTTGAGCACGTAGGCAGGTTGAGTACCTGACGCGTAATTTAGTAAAAGATTTAGAAGAGAAATAACTGTGAAACCTTAGGTTACGTTTCACAGGCTATCCGGTACTGAGCAATGTCCACAATGGTGTGATCTGGGCTAATATGGTTGTGTGACCAAATACATCTGGTGGTAGGGGTTAAGAAGTGACTTGTAATTACTCAGATGTATGCTCCTTGGGAGTTCAGTGCTACAATCCTTTATTGCAGTTCTGCAGGTAGAAACAGTCCACTCGTGAACACGAGATCACCTCGCGTCTGAGGGGACAGTGATTGCGGCCTGGGAGAAGGGACAGCTGAAAGTTTTTAAAACATCATTTACTTAACAGGATAAATATGTTTGTCTAAGAAAAACAAAAACCAGAAAATGACACGAAACCAAGACCAAACATTTGTCCAAAAGATAGCTAAAAACATCAGACAGCTAGGTTACCGCTAATTGAAGTCCATCTTTGTGTTGCTGGTATAAACTAAGAATTGGTTGGTAACTTAGGTTATAATTTCTGGTTGTGTACAAATATTTTGGAAAAAGCATGCAATAATTACATGTAGGTCACTGCAATGCCACAGGATATTAGGCTAAAGTATCTTGTGTGAGTCAATGAAGCTTTCAACTGTAAAAATAGGGCAAATTTCTCACATCCCCCCTCCATACAACCCAGGCAAACTTTCAAATAGCAGTTTGATGTAACAAAATTATTTACTCTTTTCTAGCAAATTAAATTCACAAATGGGTATGAATTAATGCCATTCTTTTTTTCCAGATTTAGTTACCCTTCAAGGGAACTCCTGTAAACAGACTTCTTAGTTTTAATTGTAAATTCAAAGAATGGTTTGGGTTGGAAGAGACCGTAAAGATCATGTAGTTCCAACTCCCCTGGCAAGGGCAGGGAAACCTTCCACTATATCAGGTTGCTCAGAGCCCCATCCAACCTGGCCTTGAACACTTCCAGGGAGGGGGCAGCCACAGCTTCTCTGGGCGACCTGTG